GGGTCTGTGGGGTGTGTGGGGTGTGTGGGGTGTGTGGTGTGTGTGTGGTGTGTGTGCGTGTGTGTGTGTGTGTGTGGTGTGTGTGTGTGTGTGTGTGGTGTGTGTGTGTGTGTGCGCGTGCGTGCGTGCGTGCGGGCGGGCGGGCCCGGCGGGCGTGGGGGTTTGTGTGGGTGTGTGTGTGTGTGGGTGTGTGTGGGGGTGTGCGTGTCTGTGTGTGTGTCTGTGTGTGTGTGTGTGTCTGCGTCGAAAGCACTATCTTGACGCCAAAACTTGATGCGCATGCTCGCATGTGAATGCTGAATGCTTGACTGGAAGGTCGGCTCGGATAGTATCCCGAATCCTAGAAGCCGTCCAAGTCTTTTCTTTGCTCACGCGCTAAGGCCCTGCTCAACTAAGCGAAAAGGAATTTAAGTTGACCATGGTTGGCACATTCCCTGGCAAAAGGCAACATGAGTCATAATCAAAACCCGGTACTAAAATGGTCGACCCAGAACCATGTAAAGAATTAAGAAGGCGGCCACAGCTATTTATGGTTGCAATTGTCCCTTACTAACCTTCATCTACCCGGGTTTTGATTGTGGCTCACATATTTCCAGGAGAGGCCCCTTACCTTCATCTTCGAAAGCGACTGGCATCAGCATCTCCGGCTTCGTTTGTTGGTCAGTCCGAGGCGCAGCCCGTTTCGACATCGCATTGGATCCGACTCGTCCGCGACTTCCGGGGGAATCACGTGCACACCTGAAAGCCGCTTGCTCCGAATGGATGGTCCATGGGCACTCGCTCAGTCCTCCTCTCAATGCTATTTCATCACATGGCTGTGGCTCAACAAACCGGTACCCAAAATGGAACCCTGGTAAGTGGAAGCCTGGACCAAAACCTGCGTAACCCCTGCTTTTAATTTTGAGCCACACCCACATGTCCCTGTAGGCAACCACCGCAAGCAGCCTTATAGGACGGGAGAGTCGCAGGGTTCCCGTAAAGTGGTAACTGCAATCTGGCACATGCCCCAAAACACCCGAACCGAATGGTCGGATGGCCAGCCACCGTTTCTTTTTCAGACTAAGATTGAAGCTGGGTGCTGCTATGTGAAACCATGGCAAATCATCTGCGACTTCAGGCATCAACTTCCGACTTTAGGCCAAACATGGTCTGATCCCTACCCGCAGCCATTTACGACCAACAAGAAACAACACAACTCGACCACCGACAGCCCTCCCCAGCCACTTCCAGTCATTTCCGTCAACTGATCGTCTTTCATCTTTGTCACCTTGTGCCTTCGGTCGAAGCGCCGGTGCTTGAGCCGCAGCGCCTTCTCCCCTCTAATGCTGCCCTTCAAATAGTCCTCTCTGGCAAATCTTCCCCCTGCCTGCGCCCGGGCTCCTGTAGGAATACTATGGAATACTGCAACTCCCCCTTTGAGGGCCACCAATTTCCAGCATGCGACTCATTTTGGAGCAGATGAACGCGAAGCCTTGACAAGACTCAGTTGCCCTCTGATCCAAGCAGGCGTTTGGAGAAAAATGGCTCCCAGCACCTCCCTGGCAGTTCATCGGTTTGGCCAACGGCTTGATATTGCGATCCCTGGAATTGAATGCCGAATCATGCACACGTGAGCCTCTCTGGTCTCATGTTGGTGTATGCATGAGGAATGGTCATCATGTCCATGATCAAAAAAGGGTGAAAGGGTGAGGTGATATCCAACCAGTCTTCACTGCCAATGTTCGACGGATTGCGACCAAAATCTCACAAGCCAACCATTTGTTTTCGCAGCCAAACGCTTGCTAGTCATTTTCAGGGACGGTGGTAACACAAGGGAAGCAGGAATCGCCAGCCATGCAACGAGTCAGTTCGTTCTACGAGCACAGCTTCAGAAGCACTACCTGGACAGCTTGAGTTTTGACATGCTGTTGGCTCATGGGTCATCTTCGAGTCCTTCATCGTTTCGGTCCTCCCGCAAAGCAAGAAGCGGAAAGCGGCGAGTATCAGATAGGAGACTTTAACGCCTTCACATCACCTACCTGGACCGTTTTGATGTGCCAACACCGGTGATTCCAGTGCAATTTGGCCGTGGGTCAACACCAATGGTACCATTTTGGGGTGGGTGCACCACCCATTTTAGTCTATTTTAGTGGGGATTAGGATGTTCACTGGGGGTACGGGGTTTTGACCCATAGCCATTTCTCTGATCCTCACAATAGGTCGACCCCGAGCGCGCTCGCAGAAAACTGGCCAGGGCGCTGTCCGGAAACTCCCCTGACTTGTGCGCGGGCGCCTCGCGACTCGCGAGTCACCCCAGCAATGATCCGAAATCTCTGGCACTAGGGCTAGGTCCTCCAGATTTGAGAGGTTAGAATACGGGTACCAACTTTTTGCTGTAGACTATTTTGGTAGGGGAACCCTCCCCCCAAAAAACAAAGGGTAAACGGGCACTACTGGGGAACCTAGAAGATAAAAAATATAGCTAACACCTGACCAGCATTTGATCCACTGTCTGAGAGCCTCTTGAGTCATGCCCTTTGTGAAGATGAAACCAAACCCGCCGCTTTCAGATCCACGACTCACCAAGAACTTCCCAGTCCCTCTCTCTCTCTCTCTCAAGCTATGTTTTGGAAAAACAAACAGGCCATCGAACGAAGAAACACAACTTCCCCTGGCTGGTTTAGTTTTCCAAATGTCCCTTTGAAGCTCCGCACTCGTCTAGACCCTGTTGAATAAAATAACATTTATCCACTGATTGGGCCCTTTCTGGCCTGCTTGAACTATGTTTTTGCGCGCAGCAGCCCCAAAAGAAACCACGCCGCAAGGAACAATCCGCCTTTGTCTAAACCCTGAATAACATGTGGCTTTCGCTTGCGGGATCAGAGCCTTCCGTAAAAGAACCCCTGCCCGAAATCAACACTGGGCTGCCCTCAGATGCCCCGCTAAAAGTGACTAACTTTTAGTGGGTTAAAGGGAAGAAACCACCACTAAAAACTACAAGGATCTAAGCTAAGGAACCGTTTAACTTTTAGTGGGTTAAATGTAAGAACCACCACTAAAAACACTAAAAGGATCTAAAACGCTAAGGAACCCTTTTAACTTTTGATGGGTTAGATGTAAAACCGCCACTAAAAACACTAAAAGGATCTAAAAACCTAGGGAACCGTTTAACTTTTAGTGGGTTAAATGGAACAACTACCACTAAACACCAAAAGGATCTAAAAAGCTAAGGAACCGTTTAACTTTTGGTGGGTTAAAGGGAAAAAACAAAAATACAAACACTAAAAGGGGCCAAAAAGCTAAGATACCGTTCAACTTTTAGTGTGTTAAATGTCAGAACCAGCACTAAAAACACTAAAAGGGTCTAAACAGCTAAGGAACCGTTTAACTGTTAGTGGGTTAAACGTAAAAAACAACACTAAAAACACTAAAAGGATCTAAAAAGCTAAGGAACCGTTTAACTTTTAGTGGGTTAAATGTAAGAACCACCACCAAAAACACTAAAAGGATCTAAAATCTAAAAAGCTAAGGAACCTTTTAACTTTTGATGGGTTATATGGAAAAAACACCACTAAACACACTAAAGGGATCTAACAAGCCAAGGAACCGTTTAACTTTTAGTGGGTGAAATGGAAGAAACCACCACTAAAATCTACAAGGATCTAAGGTAAGGAACCGTTTTAACTTTAGTGGGTTTAATGTAAGAACCACCACCAAAAACACTACAAGGGATCTAAAAAGGTAAGGAACCGTTCAACTTTTGGTGGGTAAAAGGGAAAAACTACCACTAAACACTAAAAGGATCTAAAAAGCTAAGGAACCGTAACGTTTAGTGGGTTAAAGGGAAAAACCACCACTAAAAACTACAAGGATCTAAAAAGCTAAGGAACCGTTTAACTTTTAGTGGGTTCAATGTAAAAACCACCACTAAAAACACTAAAAGGGTCTAAAAAGCTAAGGAACCTTTTAACTTTTAGTGGGGAAAACGAAAAAACAAAACACCACTAAAAACACTAAAAGGATCTAAAAAGCTAAGGAACCGTTTAACTTTTAGTGGGTTTAATGGCAAAACTACAATTAACAACACTAAAGAGATCTAAAAAGCTAAGGAACCGTTTAACTTTTAGTGGGTTAAATGCAAAAACCACCACTAAGAACTACAAGGATCTAAGCTAAGGACCGTTTAACTTATAGTGGGATTGAAAATAAATGTAAAAACTACCACTAAAAACACTAAAGGGATCTAAAAAGCTAAGGAACCGTTTAACTTTTAGTGGGTTCAATGCAAAAACCACCTCTAAAAACACTAATAGGATTTAAAAAGCGTATGGAACCGTTCAACTTTTGGTGGGTAAAAGGGAAACACTACCACTAAAAACACTAAAGGGATCTACAAAGCTAAGGAAGCGTTTAACTTTTAGTGGGCTAAATGTAAAAACCACCACTAAAAACACTAAAATAATATAAAAAGCTAAGGAACCGTTCAACTTTTGGTGGGTAAAAGGGAAAAACTACCACTAAACACTAAAAGGATCTAAAAAGCTAAGGAACCGTTCAACTGTTAGTGGGTTAAATGTAAAAACCACAAATACAAACACTACAAGAATCTAAAAAGCTAAGGAACCGTTCGACTGTTGCTGGGTTAAAGGGACAAAAATACCACTAAAAATACTAAAGGGATCTAAAACGCAAAGGAACCGTTTAACTTTTAGTGGGTTAAATGAAAAACCACCACGAAAAACACTACAAGGATCTAAAAAGGTAAGGAACCGTTCAACTTTTGGTGGGTAAAAGGGAAAAACTAGGCAAGCGGCTCTCTGGGAGCCGTGTAACTGTCACCGACAGCATTTTGCGTGTTTTGAAGTGCGAGAAGGCAAATTCACTGGTATTTGCGGTGTTTTTGCCTCATTTGACTCAAACTTCTTGCGACATGGGCTGTGCAAAGGGGGTCCCCGAAAAGTTCGTTTTTTGACCTAATTTGTGGACCTGTCAGCCGCGCGCCTCCCGCACTTTATACTCTTGGGTGTCTTGCGCGCGACTAATCCCAAAGAGCCTTGGCCAGAAACTTTTGCGGATCTGAGCTCAATGCCTTCGCATTGTGCTTTGCAACGAAACTAAAGGCCCAGTCAAAAATGAGAGGATTGCAGCGGCTGTCTTTTTTCAGCTTTTGCTGCAGGCTCTCAGGGCGCCAGCGTTTCATATGCTTCCATAAGGAATCCAGCAAATTCCACATTGCGCTCCAAGTGTGCTAGCAGGCCGGCTCATTTCGCATGACCGAGGAATGTGGGATGCTGGAAGAAACATACGTAGTAAATATGCCCAAAATCCCGCTTGTTGGAACACATAAACATAATGCGAAAATGAACGCTTGGATTACACGAGAAGAAGCTGAAATGACCTAGGCTGGAGGCTCCGTCGGCTATGGTGCACATGACAGCAGAAATGGAAGCGCCGCATTCATTGGCCCCCCCCCACCCCCCACCCCCCACCCCCATCCCCAACCCCAAGACTCAGATTCGATGACAGTTACACGGCTCCGAGAGAGCCGGCTGCCAAAAACTACCACTAAAAACACTAAAGGGATCTAACAAGTTAAGGAGCTGTTTAACCTTTAGTCGGTTACATGTAAAAACCACCACTAAAAACACTAAAAGGATCTTAAAAGCTAAGGAACCGTAACGTTTAGTGGGTTAAAGGGAAAACTACAACTATAAAAACACCAAAAGGATCTAAAAAGCTAAGGAACCGTTTAACTGTTAGTGGGTTAAATGTAAAAACCACCACTAAAAACTACAAGGATCTAAGCTAAGGAACCGCTTGACTTTTAGTGGGTTAAAAGTCAAATGTAAAAACCACCACTGAAAACACTAAAAGGGTCTAAAAAGCTAAGGAACCGTTTAACTTTTAGTGGGTTCAATGTAAAAACCACCACTAAAAACACTAATAGGATCTAAAAAGCGTATGGAACCGTTTAACTTTTAGTGGGTTAAATGTAAAAACCACCACTAAAGACTACAAGGATCTAAGCTAAGGAACCGTTTAACTTTTAGTGGGTTAAAAGTTAAATGTAAAACCCACCACTAAAAACACTAAAAGAATCTAAAAAGCAAGGAACCGTTCAACTTTTGGTGGGTTAAGGGGAAAAACTACCACTAAAAACACTAAAGGGATCTAAAAAGCAAAGGAACCGTTTCACTTTTAGTGGGCTAAATGTAAAAACACACAAATACAAACACTAAAAGGGGCCAAAAAGCTAAGATACCGTTCAACTTTTAGTGTGTTAAATGTCAGAACCAGCACTAAAAACACTAAAAGGGTCTAAACAGCTAAGGAACCGTTTAACTTTTAGTGGGATAAACGTAAAAACTAGCACTAAAAACACTAAAGGGATCCACAAAGCTAAGAAAGCGTTTAACTTTTAGTGGGCTAAATGTAAAAACCACCACTAAAAACACTAAAATAATATAAAAAGCTAAGGAACCGTTCAACTTTTGGTGGGTAAAAGGGAAAAACTACCACTAAACACTAAAAGGATCTAAAAAGCTAAGGAACCGTTCAACTTTTAGTGGGTTAAATGTAAGAACCACAAATACAAACACTACAAGAATCTAAAAAGCTAAGGAACCGTTCGACTGTTGCTGGGTTAAAGGGACAAAAATACCACTAAAAATACTAAAGGGATCTCAAAAGCAAAGGAACCGTTTCACTTTTAGTGGGTTAAATGAAAAACCACCACTAAAAACACTACAAGGATCTAAAAAGGTAAGGAACCGTTCAACTTTTGGTGGGTAAAAGGGAAAAACTACCACTAAAAACACTAAAGGGATCTAACAAGTTAAGGAACTGTTTAACCTTTAGTCGGTTACATGTAAAAACCACCACTAAAAACACTAAAAGGATCTTAAAAGCTAAGGAACCGTAACGTTTATTGGGTTAAAGGGAAAACTACAACTATAAAAACACCAAAAGGATCTAAAAAGCTAAGGAACCGTTTAACTGTTAGTGGGTTAAATGTAAAAACCACCACTAAAAACTACAAGGATCTAAGCTAAGGAACCGCTTAACTTTTAGTGGGTTAAAAGTCAAATGTAAAAACCGCCACTGAAAACACTAAAAGGGTCTAAAACGCTAAGGAACCGTTTAACTTTTAGTGGGTTCAATGTAAAAACCACCACTAAAAACACTAATAGGATCTAAAAAGCGTATGGAACCGTTTAACTTTTAGTGGGTTGAATGTAAAAACCACCACTAAAAACTGCAAGGATCTAAGCTAAGGAACCGTTTAACTTTTAGTGGGTTAAAAGTTAAATGAAAAAACCACAACTAAAAACACTAAAAGAATCTAAAAAGCTAAGGAACCGTTCAACTTTTGGTGGGTTAAAGGGAAAAACTACCACTAAAAACACTAAAGGGATCTAAAAAGCAAAGGAACCGTTTAACATTTAGTGGGCTAAATGTAAAAACCACAAATAAAAACACTAAAAGAATCTAAAAAACTAAGGAACCGTTTATCTTTTAGTGGGTTCAATGTAAAAACCACCACTAAAAACACTAATAGGATTTAAAAAGCGTATGGAACCGTTCAACTTTTGGTGGGTTAAAGGGAAAAACTACCACTAAAAACACTAAAGGGATCTACAAAGCTAAGGAACCGTTTAACTTTTAGTGGGCTAAATGTAAAAACCACAAATCAAAACACTAAAATAATCTAAAAAGCTAAGGAACCGTTCAACTTTTGGTGGGTTAAAGGGAAAAACTACCACTAAAAACACTAAAGGGATCTACAAAGCTAAGGAACCGTTTAACTTTTAGTGGGTTCAATGTAAAAACCACCACCAAAAACACTAATAGGATTTAAAAAGCGTATGGAACCGTTCAACTTTTCGTGGGTAAAAGGGAAAGACTACCACTAAAAACACTAAAGGGATCTACAAAGCTAAGGAACCGTTTAACTTTTAGTGGGCTAAATGTAAAAACCACCACTAAAAACACTAAAATAATCTAAACCGTGCAACTTTTGGTGGGTTAAAGGGAAAAACTACCACTAACAACACTAAAGGGATCTGCAAAGCTAAGGAAGCGTTTAACTTTTAGCGGGTTAAATGTAAAGACCACCACTAAAAACACTAAAAGGATCTAAAAAGCTAAGGAACCGTTCAACTTTTGGTGGGTTAAAGGGAAAAACTACCACTGCACTCAAAACACTAAAGGGATCTAAAAAATTTAAGGAACCGGATGGCCTTCGGGAGTCACCAAGAAAAACGGCCCCGCGCACCGCTCTGGCCTCCTCCCAAGAGGCCATCATGCCGTTCGTCTTGGGCCTTTGGCGCCGCCTCGCCGCCATGTCCTTTCGGTTCCAAACGCAGAAGGACGAGACACTTCTCAAAACTGCCTGCCCAGGGGAAAAAAAAAAAAACGGTGTACCTCAAGCATCAGGCAAACATGTGAACGTTGTCTTTTGCTTTTTTAAAGAGTAACCTCAAGCATCGGGCGAACATGTGAACGACCAAACCCAGAGAAAGAAAAACGGGGAGAAAAAAAACGGGGGTACCTCAAGCATCGGGCGAAAATGTTAACGACCAGAGCTGGAACCAGGTACAGCGGCGCAGTTCGAATTGCAAGACCATGCCACGACACAGGCACACCCGGCCCTGAATCTGTCAGTAAAAAGAGTGTGAACTCTGTTCCGCGTCCCTCATTGTGTGGAGGTTCACAATACCATCAGGTGGGTCCGCAAAATGCCCTTGATGTGTCAACCACTTATCGGTTCATGCTGCTTCTTGAAGTTTCTTATCAGGAGGCGGGCTCTCCCTAGATGAGCAATCCGCTCACACATACGGCCTCAAAACCTTTCGTGTTTCACCAGGAGAGAGCCCCGCTCCTCACCATGGATTGGCCTTTTGCCTTGGCCACAACAAGCCAATCCAATGTTTGCCACCGATATCGTCCAAACCAAAGGTTAGCAAATCCGCCGCCCAGGAACCGCCGATCGGTCCTTCGGCACCGGAACCCCGCTCTCCATGGTCATGGACATGGTCGCCATGCTCGGCGGCTCGGAGTCCTGCAAAAAACATCGGACCGTTTTGAACAGGGATCCTTACAGAAAAACAACATTGCAACTTGTCAGTGGTGGTTTTTCCAACTTTATTTTGGTACGGAAAAAGCCACATGTTTCAATTGGCAAAATGGAGATCTTTTGAGGAGCCCTGTTGAACGAAGAGGTTTTCACTGGGCTGTGGCTCAAACAAGCCGGTACCAAAATGGGTTGCCCTAATAAGGGGAAACGTGGACCAAAACCTGCGAAACCCCTCCTGCTTAATTTTGAGCCACACGCACGTATGGGTCAAAATTAAGGCACTGGGAACCGGACCGCAGGTTCTATGTCTTTGCTTCCAGTTTCCAGGGTGACCCACACCCACCCATAGCTTCTCGACACCGAACACCGCGCGTAACGCGCTCATGCCCAGTTGAAGTTGACCAACCCAGGTTGCAATTCGATAAATTGCCATTGGCCCAATGCTACAGCACATACAGTTTGAGGGATCCTAGCCGGAAGCTGGCACACAAAGTCAGGCCGACTCTGCTGCGGGATGTGGAGCTTCAGCCAGCTATTCTCTCTTTTTTCCACAGCAAGTAACTTGCGAGGATTACGTAGTGGAGTCAAGTCACCCTGGGGCAAGGAGGGTCTGCAATGTGCTGTTGCACCATACGCGATCCGCCAACACAGACACACAAACGACGTGGCCCGAACAACAGCCTGGATGGCCCATTCGAATGCCAACCTCTGAGGCATTGTCTGGTATCAGCCTAACACGACATTCACTTCGACCATGGCCATCGCAGAAAGAAGTACAGGCAAACGCACACAGCCAGCTGCTGGCCACGGGATTGGAAGCCTCTCTTGGACATTTTTTGGGGATACCCGCTGTTTCCTGGGTCCATGGAGAGCGAACCCTTTTTGGCATCGGCCCATGTCTCGAGCTTATTTGTCTCCGGCAATGCGCGGATGTTCTCGAGCGCAACGCCCCGATTTGGGATTAGGCCCCGCCAAGTGTTTCTGCCTTCTCAGGGGCAAAACGACTCTTTCATGATCTCCTTCTGCCTATTCTATGCCTGAAATTGGTGTCAAAGGACCCCACATGGGTGTCAAGGTACCCCGCAATCCCAGTCTGATTGCTTCAGCCCTGGTCGCCATTCTCCACACCACAGAAGGAGCACAGCTTCTAACCCCCAGCCATCACCATGGACCAGTGAATCCTTTGCCAAACAAGGCATGGACCAATTGCCGCGCACGAGTCAGACATCGACTTCAAGTTGGAATGCGTCAAAGGACCAACACAAGAAGGACTGAAATGTCTCGCCCAAGCCTGTGCCCCTGGAGTCATGCTCAAAGTTTGTGCAGCCGATCGGAAAGAGCCCAGGTGCATGTAAATGTGGGTGTCATGCGAAAATGAGTAAACACATGTCACCAAAAAAAACAATTATGAGGCGATATGGGGCATTTCAAACAGGGTCGATTCAACATGCAAGCAAAACTCCAATGATATTCTTGTCCAGGACAGCTAGACTCAAGGACAATTCCACGCCTGACTTTCACTGGATGTTCACAGAACTCTAAAATGGAATAGCAGCAACCAATTCCTTTCCAATGCTTGTCCAATGAAATTCCAATGAACGTCCCGTGAATTTCAAATGGTTGCCCTCACTCAACTCCCCTGGAGCCTGGAAGGATTTGTTTTGCCGGAATGCCGGAATTTCACCCATTTCAAACCCTCAAGCCAGGCCAAAGAGACCACACCTGATACAGCCTATGATACTCGTTATATAGCCTGCTTCTTGTGGAATGAAGCACCTGACGGTGGGACAAGTCGCTGGTCATGCGCACAAGGAAAAATCCGCATCAATAACTACTCATAGGCACACCAAGGTTGCCTTATCACAAACCACAATCTTGCAAGTGCATAGTGTTTCTTCATCAACCTGGCGGATTAAAAAGAAACCTGTCACCTGAATCCTGGGCTCGTGAATTCTGTGTCAAGATCTGGCCCTGCCTGACGGCTGGACATGGTCCGAGTTATGGGAGACCCAACCTGGCGGGTAGAGGAACTCTTGTTTTTGGTTGACCATGTTTGGTTGCAACCCAACAAGCAAAGAATGGTTGGGGTGCCACTGAACAACTGGGTATGCCTAAGCACCCAAGTTCCGAGACCTATCGGATAATCGACTAACAAGTACAGCATCCATCCACCAACTGAGGATGCGCTCAGAGGCCATTCCCAGCGGTGTCAAAGGTCTGTCTTATGCTTTTCTAAGCAGACGTAGCCTCCGTGTGCCAATGCAACAAAACGCACAATACCAAAGCCGTGTCACCGAACCCAACAAATTCATGCAGAGGAAGAAAATCGAAAAATGCTCTGTACCCCTGTCTTTTATTTGTGAGAGGAAGGGCCATGTCCCGACTTCTCAAGTTCCCACAGCGGGTAAGAAAAAGTCACCGTTGTCAATGGTGTCATGGCTCGTTAGGATCTGTGCAATGCTCTACAAAACAACACTCGACTATACATGGCTATCCCTACTTGTATTTACTTCAGGCAGGCAACTCTTTGATCACGCGTGTTTGGATGAAACATGGTGTCTAAGGGATCAACCAGCGAGCATCTTCATCGGTCGCCATGCACTGCCTTGACCAGAATTGAGCGTGTTCGAAGTCAGGATGACAAATTTGCAGTCTGGGCAAATCAAGCCTTATCCTTTGAGACTTCCTATATGTATCATCCAGCAGTGCTCCAAAACCCTTGCCAGAGCCACGGTTCCTGACAAGGGAAACGGACATTTCGACTCTCCAGGTTTGGTCATCTAACCTCAAACATGAGCTATGGAAGGCACGAGCATGACATTGCTTGACCTTCTACTATCAATTGAGCACGAGCCATTTTCCTGAAGCAAGCTTCGCCCCGGTTCTTCGCTGAGCCGAGTTTTTCTTTGACGATACAGTATCTTTGGAAGAATCCACAGGAACCATTTGAACATGGCCGCGCAAGCTCCCGTTCCCGGCCTCCGGCTCTGCTAGAGCACCTGGAGAGCCTGTGACTCGAAACGTTCCGCTGCCGTTCCCCCCTTCTCTGAGGAACAAAATGTCTCTGAATTGCAAGCTTAACAGAGCCCTCTTCCGCATGCAAGCGAATCAAACTCACTGCAGCTCTGATATAGATTCCGATGTAGTCGCAGTCAGATTGTTCATAACTATCTATTATATGTTGCACTGGGTTGAACAATCTGAACAGACTCAGCATCAAGTGCAACACATTGACTTGCTGTTAACTGGATTCAATGCCCAAATGATGTCAGCAATGGAATCATTGAATGAAGGTGAACATCGTTCGATATCCTGGGAAATTATATTTGTCAGTGGGTAGTCAGCACTGGAAAGTGTTCTTGAAAGAAACCAACTTCAAACAGTCGCTTGGCCGGTCATGGCGAAAAAGCGCCCGAGACTGCCCGCAGCAATGCCAGCTGATATCGCATGAAGGTTCTCTTGAAGCATGCCGAACTCGCATTGCACCGGACCGGTGCCCAATGAACGAAGTGCAGCCCTTGGTCTTGATTTTGCTGACTTTCAAAACTAGGTCCTCCAGTTGAGAGTCGTTAGAATAAGTTGGTACCAACTTTTTCAGTCGTCTATTTTAGGGGGGGTGAGAAAGGGCACCTAGCTGGGGGACCTAGAAAAACATCAAACACGTGCCATGAACGGGAAGTCCGGGAAGTCCGGGAAGTCTTTGTTCTCAGCATTGGGTGGTCTCCATACGAACCGAATTCCTTATGAGAGACGATTAGGGCACCTAGCTGGGGGGCCTAGAAACTAGGCTGGAATTGGGACCCCAGCCAAAAAAATCATCTTTATTGCCCAGGGACCCCAAAAAAACAAAAAACAAGAAACCCAAAGGGGAGCTAATTCTGGGGAAGGAAAAGAACCACAGCGGTATCAATCAGACCCCCACCATACAGCGAAGTGAGTCATAGTCAAAACCCGGTAGTAAAATGGTCTACCCAGAACCATGTGAAGAAACACAGCGGTGTTGAGGGACTCCGCGCCTTGCTCTGCATCGCCTGGCTCTGCGAATAGAGCTGCCCCGCCCTGGGCCACTGCAGGCAGTGAACCTGCTCGGGGTGTGCGACGTGGGAAGTTGTCACAAACGCGGTTTGAGGTTGACGTGGCAAAATGTCCACTACCCTCAGACCACTACTGAAGGGCAACATGTCCACTACCATCAGACCACTATATTCCCCTTGGTCTGAAACACGAGCCCAGGTTTTAACATTTTTCAGTTGAATTCGGATCCCACGATTCCAGACAACTCGCAAAAACTCGAGCTCGACTTGACCTCTGCGCTGAAATTCCGAGCTTCCGAGTTCATCGGTCTAAGGAATCGACCGAGATGTTCTATCGAGATCAAACCACATTCTGAGATGAGACTCGGCTAGGCATTGATCTTGGCCGCTGCGAGGCTGCAATGCATGAATGGATTGAAGGATTGAAGGATTGAAGGAAGGAAGGAAGGAAGAAAGAAAGAAAGAAAGGATGCATTCTTGGATTGATGGATGGATGCATGGATGGACGGACGGATGGATAAATCCATGAATGAAGTCATTGTGACGTGGCATGAAAGGCCGCAAACTAAGATGCGATGCACTGAGATGTGATGAAACATCATGTGATGAGATAAGCTGAGATGAAAAGAGAGATGAAATGCAAGAAACGCATATGAAAAGAGATGAAATGACAAGATTGAGTAATGAGAGGTAATGACACAACGTGAGATAAAGTAAGAACAACGTGCGACATGACCGAAGGTAAAGCAAACTGAAGTAAGATTCAAAGATACGATGACAGGAAATTAAAGTAACATGAGGTGAGACTAAATGAGGCGAAGTGCTATAAACTGAGGTGACACTGTATGAACGAACTATTGATTGAGTTGCTTGGAATTGAGCTGAATTTGCTGGACTTGACTTTGATTGGTTGATTGATTGATTGATTGATTGATTGATTGATTGATTGATTGATTGATTGATTGATTGATTCATTGCATGATTGCATGGATGCGCAGAAACACCAAAACTGCTTTCGTATTCAGTCCTTACTGAAAAAGCAGGGGTTGTGGTCGATCCTCTCATAAACAAGGCAAGAAGGAGAATCGGACCACATTGCATCACAAAAACAGCATCGGCTGAATTCTTTGATGACATTGCTGATTGCCTTCAGTCAGTTTCCCTTCAATTCCTGTGATTGGATTGCACATGGGGAGTACGCCACAATCACCTGAGGCAAAAACTCAAGGAGATGCATCACATGTCTCACCCAGAAGGCTGCCATCAGAGTCACAGGCCACTGGTCTTCAAGCCGTGTTGCAAAAGCACCAACACAGGCCAGGCGAGTTTGTTGTTCATAAGTTACTTAAGACACTGTGCTTTCATGTTCATTCTAAACCAGGGGTTGTGAAGCTGTTCACCGACCAGAGCCATAAGAATCTGGGTGCATACCTGGCCTCAATATTGCTTTCCCGGAGAGCCGCCGTTGACACTTTGGCTGCTTGGTTCAAGGCACCACAACATGCGACTGCGTCTTTTTGTTGAGGGCATGACTGTTTGGCAGTTTTGCACCATCTTGGGGGGGATCCCCTGAAAAAAACAACAACAAAGGACACACCGATCTCTTCCATGGAACCTCAAAACATCGCATTCAAGAGACGTCTGCTTGCCCCTTGCTGGGCTCCATGTGTGTGGTGGTTTTAGGAGTTCGCCCGGCGCGCCTCGGTATTCCAGGCGAGATCTCCGCCTGAAGGTCTATCCGACGATTTCTGCGAGCCAGCAATTCTGTGCACGGAAGGGCTCCTAACAACATGGACGGATTCCACTGAACAAAACTAAAGCCACCAGACTGAGGTATACAGCTATTCAGATTCCTTGGATTGGCTGAAAGGGTCACAGTCATCACTAGAGTATCGTGGCTTGCTTGGCCAACGCTTTCTGAAACGCTTTCGGCAGGCCTAAGCATTGCAAGCGAAGCAGGGGCTCAGCAAGTGGCCGTTTCGAGGTTCGAGTCGCGCTCAAAGTCTTTTGCGCCAACTATCCTATTTGGGGATGAAAAAAGCTAAGGCTACAGACCCCGTGATGAATATCAAAGGAACGACAACTAAGCCTGCGAACCTGGAAACAGTTTGACGCACGCAGTACTCTGAGCAGATCAGAACCGAAGCTCTTAGAGCTCTGTGTAAGGCACCCCCTTACACGGTTCCAATCCGTGCCACGAACAGTCCAAGCATTGGATCGTGGATGCCCTCATCCCCCTTGGAAAGTACTAAAGTGCTGAAGAGATGATGATTGATTGGGGCCTCTGAAATGTCTAGAGCCCCGGCATAAGGCTGACAAGCAAACCATGTCCTGCTCGCTGCAGGGTAGCAGGTAACACATCAACGCTCTTCCAACATCGTCGCACTGACTGTGCCTAAATTCAATGGAACAGGCGAGTGTGCAGAACATCATTCATCATGACTGTCAGGAAAGAAAATGCGCGCCATCTTGGCCACATACATACCCCGAGTCAAGATGTTCATCGCACATGATCGTCAGTAAGCCTTTTCACAGGAATTGGCAATTTGAAAATGCTGGAACTGCGTCGTCATCAAGCACTCGCTTTCCGGACTGTTGCTGAATGCCGTTGTCAGCTCGTGTCTCGGACGCAAACTTAACCGCTTCCGATCTCTCCGTCGAAGCCTCCAAAAAAGGAAGGACGCTCTACCAAGAGGAAACCTTCTTTCTAGGGTCTGACTCCCCATTCTTTTCAACCATCGTTCTTTTCAATAACCAGCCGTTTTCCCTGGGTTTCCGGAGGTTTTCTAGAAAGAAGGATTCCAGAATGGGGAAGGTACCCTCAGATTCTGGCTTTTTTTGGATCCCAGAACTAACTGCCCAAAACCGGTGGCATGCCAATCTCCAGAGCTAAACCACAAGCCCGTGCCCCGTGCCCGCCTTGTGGCGGCTTCTGCCGCTGCTGCTGTGAGGGTCTGGAGGCACGCGCTGAACAAAAATGCCAATGAGATTGGTTGCACCCTACCAGAAAGACGTGCCAAACCACAGGGAGGGAGGCCGAACAATCCCAAATAAATCTGAGGGGGAAGTCCCCAACACAAGCCCAATGTGACAAGTGATCGCAGGCCTTTCCTTTCCAGACGGTTTCCGGGGTTATCAAGGTCAGAAAATGGGGTTATGTCCCTTTAACCCACCACTTAGAGCCGTATGGCCATGACATCCGGGTAAACAATCATGATTCACCAACCTACAATGGTTGGACATCATTGCTACAGTTCGCACAAATGGAAGATGGGATACCTTCATCCCCAGAGTCACCTCCGCATTGTAGACCAAAGATACCAAGGACAAGAGTCACCCCTGCATATAGGACAGAATAGCTGCGGTGCTATGGAATTGCCGTGCATTTGAGTCGTTCTCTATGATTTACTTCATATGTATGGTTTGGGTGTCTGTTTTAGGTTGCCCTTTTTTGGTGGCTTTAAAGTTTACTTTAACGGGAAGCCAAAAGAAAATAACCATTCTTGGTGCTTTGTACATGGGGAACTTTCGGTGGACTTCATTCACGTAGGATTTGCGTCCACCAACCATTTTGGAAAGGCTCATACCCTATCTTGTCATGTGGCCAATTTGGATCCGCCTCTCTTTGAAGCGGCCCATGTGGTTTCGGAAACCGAGGGGAAACTCTCGTCGTTTTGTCTGGCTTCATTGTTTTACCATGATCCAACATAAGCCTGCTGGTGTCAACCCATATTTGCTCTCAGACTCCCTGTGACAAGGATCCAGCTCACCCGTGCGTTGGTAGGCAGACGGATCCTGATCCGGGGCCGTGCCTGGGCCTCCGTTTGCTGCTTGGCCGAGGTGTTCATCTGCAGAATCATTGGGCAGGCTTCCTGCGGGAGTGCAGTGTTCCTGACTGAGTGGAGTGAGTGAAGTGTGTGGAGTGAGTGGGGTGAGTGGGGCGAGGAGTGAAGTGAGTGGAGTGGGTGTGAGTGCAGTGAGTAGCTCTACCATTCGACCCGAATCAGGAAGGACTGTTGTCTCAGGTCTGCTTGGATATGTTTTTGGCGGACAACTTAGGCGGAGAGAATTCAAGGGCCACTTGGGAAACATTTGTCCAAAGGCCTCACAGGAAATACGGCACAGAGAGAAACAGTGCCAAAGACGCTTCAACACGCCAGCATGACTTCTGGCCGTGGTTTGACCTCACGTGTAGAATCCCTCGATTTCCCTCTCAGTGGGGTCAAAAATGGTCAAAAAGCAAACCTGGCGCCCTCACTGCTTGTGCTGCTGTGTCCCGCTCCCTTATATCTTGAACCTCTACCGTTTAGACCCTCAACGTTGCCATGGAACTCAAAGGAGAATCGGGCGACTCAAGTTCCATTGCCCCCTCCCCCAAAACCAAAGGAGCATATGCAAAGCCTTGCAATCGAATCCCGCGTCTGCGAACGTGCTAGTGGGTCACTCTTGGTCATGGCTCTCTCTCGAAAACCCCCAGTTTCGAGGTTGCAGACCATCCCGGCAAAATTAATTATTATACTCCCCCCCGGTCCCCCCCCCAAAAAAAAAAGAACAACAAACAAAAAAAAAACACACAAATTGTATCCCCAAAAAAAACACCAAAAACCCTTTCCCTACGAGAAAGAACAACAAAAAGGACTCCCCAAGACCCAAGACTTGGGTGTTCTGGTCCGCAGCTCAGATTCCTCAGCTCCTCAGTTCCTCGTTCCTTCCTCGAGTTCCGATCCGCGCGCCGATCCGCGCGGGTCCTTCCAGGAGGGTCCGGGCACGAAGGTCCCCACGGCTTCCAGCTCCCAGCGCTTCGAAGAGTTCCGCACCAGCCTTCCGAAATCGGCGGGTCAAAATCCAAATCGGTTAGCCCCCAGTGAACATCCGATTCAATCCAACCACTAAGACTAGGCCGGGTGGTGAATTCACCTACCCCGAAATGGTAAGATCAAAATGGGTGGTGAATTCACCTACCCCGAAATGGGATCCCATTTGACCCACAGCCAAATGCGATGAGTCCGGCGACCTGTCATGGATCGCTGGGGCCATTTGCTTCAGTCCCCTGGAAAAAATGACAAAATATGGCCAGTGATCGATTCCCTTTAAAACCAATAGGAACAAAAATGAAAGTCTTAAAATTAACAGGAAAAATGGCCAGTAGCGATTATTGAAAAGAAAAAAAGTGACCGGGGCATGACACGCCAAAATTCCATGGACAAACCGACACCTCCGGAGCACACCAAGCCCTGAATTTCTGACCAGCCGCCGGTTGCAATGCCATGGTTGCTTCCAAAAAGTCATACATATGGCTATGAATGTTAATAAGGGACCCTTTGGTGGACATTGTTTCGGTGGGGATTCATGTCCACCAATCACTTTTGAGGTGGTTCCCTATTAAAATTCATGGCCATATAAGGAATCCTGGGGCGTTCAAGCCACTCACCAGAAGAAAAACACCGCTGGATTCGAATGGCGACAGCATCCCTGTCTCAGCCTCCATTTCACCAACGGACAGTGTAGCCATTGGCCAAAGATGGCCCTTTGCCACCCAAAGGATATCCTTGAACTATGCAAGAAACCAGCTGGAAATTCTACAGCCTAGCCGAATTCCCTCGTTCATGTTTGGGCGGGAACTTCGCGAGCTTCCCGCAGAAAATCCCCGTGGTTTTTATTTGCTCAGTGACCCCACCCTGAAATCCTGAGCCGTCGACTTGCAGAGAATGAGACCGGGCAGATTGTTGCAGTCATCCTTCTCGCCTCAGTCAACTTGTTGTCATGCTTCCATTTGTGCCTTGGACAGCGCTCCTCATGTTTGTCTTAAATCCCTACCCAATGTCCATGACCATCCCTAGCCACCTTACCATGGCGCAGCTGGCTTCCCTTGAGAATCTTAGCAAATGCGATACACAGGAAGAGACTGAGATTTCCGCGTTGCGTCCATCGGACAATCTGTTGACACCGTCCCTTATGATTTGAGACTCATGCTCCTCGAGACAATCAAAGTGACAACAAGATCGGCGAGTCGGCCCGAAGCAGTCCTTGTTTGCCTGTCGACCCTAACCCTCACTTATCATCAAGGGGAGTCCCTTTGTACTGGGGTTTCTTTCAGTGGAATATAAAAGCCTCAATTATCACTGCACGGTTTTGTCGAGAATCAGCACCATGATTTGTTGCCACTACATGGTGCACATGTCAGGCAGCGAGCAATGGTTTGCAAGTGTTCGTGTATACCTAGATCTTCTTTGAGAACAATTTCCCAACATTTTCCTTAAAAAGCAAAAAAAACGCGCATTGTTGGAAAACACGCTCATTTACCCAAAAAACACACATTTCGGTTCGACCAGCCATGTTCAAAACAAGTTGGTTTTGGGCTTTCCGCCGATTTCCTCGCATTTTCCGCCGATTTCCGCGCATTTTCCGCCGATTTCCGCGCATTGTCCGCCGATTTCCGCGCATTTCTGGTGGCCAAATTTGCTGGATTTGCCACAAAATGGGTGCGGAACATGAAATTTGCAGTTTCCGCGTAGATTTCGGAAATTCCGCTCAATTGGCAAAATGAGCAAAAATAACGTAATGAGCAAAAAAATGTTCCTTTTTGAGGGTCCAGGTATATATATATATATATATAGACGTATACATATATATATATATATATACATCATATATATATATATGTATACATATTCGGGTTGCGAGAGGCCTCCCCAATCCCGGCACTCGGTTCGAACCAGACGTTCAGTGGCCCTGTATTTTAGTTGACGGGATCCAACAATCCCAGCGAATCCCAGGCAACCACTCTTCCAGGTAATCTTTTCATTGCCAACTTGAGCTTTTGAATCGCAGCTTCACTTGGTTACCGTTTCCAGGAAATGGACTCCCTGCCTTAAAATCCACCCAAAGAGCAGCCTGGAGCGCTGGCCAAAGGCTCGGCATTGTGGGCAACACCCCTTGTGCCAAAGTGGAGTGGAGGCGAGTCTTTGTACATTTTAGGGGATATCCCTCAAAATGCCTGCCGTTCAACACGTGGTGGAGCTTGCTGCCAGGAATCCCTGACCGAAACCCCCCCCCCCCCGCCGCCAGTTGTCCCAAGGAGCTCTCTAGGGTGAAGCTGGCAAGGGTCTTGCAGTTCTGATCGCTGGCCTGCACCGTGCTCGGGGGAAAACCGCAACGGCTACACTTTTGCCAAGAAAAAAATCGTTGATCCCCCACATCTCCGGGGGCTGTCAGATGGTAGTGACCCTGCTTGGACTCCAAGGCTTGGTCAACCTTGCTGAATCTGGGTGAATGCGGTCCTTCCTGTCAGGTCTCTTTTAGAGGAAACTCAGTCATGCAGCGCCCAGCCACAAAATGCACTCACTTCCAGAGAAGGTTGACCAAACCAAGTCCATTTGTTTGCTTGCAGCAAAAACGGCATACACCAAGGTGAACGCGGCCGCAAGCAAACAAATCAACGAAAACGATGACACCAAACTGGGGGACTTCGTGCCATCTACTTCCACACATCAGAAAAAGTTCAGGACTCGGTGGCTTTCCTGCGGGTCGCCCCAGAGGTGAAACAGGTCTCCCAACTCACGCGCCCACCGCCCACTTCGCGAGAGAGAAACAAGACCACCCCCGCCATGCAGGAGGCGTAGGTGATGTCCTTGAAGCTCACCTCCTATGTCTGTGAATTTTTGGGTGGGGTGGGGTGGGGTGGGGTGGGGTGGGGTGGGGTGGGGTGGGGTGGGGTGGGGTGGGGTGGGGTGGGGTGGGGTGGGGTGGGGTGGGGTGGGGTGGGGTGGGGTGGGGTGGGGTTGGGTGGGTGGGTGGGTGGGTGGGTGGGTGAGTGGGCATGCGGGCAGGTGGGCGGGCGGGGCGGGTGGGTATGTTGGTTTTTGAGGCTGTCAACTTGGTTTAGGCGGCAATCAATGGGAAGCCAACAGGAAGACAACATTTGGCTGACCGAATGAGCTAACCTCCAAAACCTCGGCGGATGGTCAACATGTCAGCGGGGTTCCAGGACATTGGAAAAAAGCAAACGTACACTCTCCCCTCTACTTGCATGCAACCCACCAAAGGTTCCTGCGGGAAATTGGTGCTCCAGGAACCCCGGTCTCGGCTTGGAATATGTCCCACTTTGCATCATCATATAGACCCTGGTCCAGTCGGCGCTAGCGTGCGCTACAAGGCGTTGGTTTAGCAGGGTTGCGTTGCGACGGCGTTGCTGTGTCCTTGTAGTTGGGTGCCACCAGATCAACGATGATGTAGACCTGGTGCACCTTCGGAGCCGTCAAACTTGAAATCCCTTGCTGGGATGGCTCAGCATGGGTCGTAAGAGGCTTGGGTCTCTCCAAATAGCACCGGGTTGCCGATACTTGGTGGTGTCCTGATTCGAGGCCCTTAACAAGTGAACACGATAGCCCGGGGCTGACCACAACTCAGCAGGCAACTGACCACAACAGAACATCAACTCTCATCATATCGCAGCCAGGTATGTACCCCAGTGCGAAGGCCAGCAAGGCCGCAGATTCTCTTGCCTTTAAGCCGATTTGGTGACCAGGCCAATGGCCGTGCTGACCAGGCGTGCAATGCACGGACGACCTCCTACCTTTTTAGGCGGTTTTCGCAGGGATTTTTCGCAGTAAAAGGGACACCCCCCTCCCAAGAAAGGAAACCAGTGCACCAGTGGAGGTCTAGGTCCGTCACTCACTTTGAATCAAGGCTACGAGGCAGCTGCGCCATGCGCCGAAGAATTTCTCCAGCTCTCGTGGCGCCAGAGGACTATGTGTGTCATAGCTTCCCAAAACCCCATGTGTCGCAACCATGACTAGGTCCTCCAGTAGAGAGGTTAGGGTTTAAGTTGGTACCCTTTTTGCTGTAGTCTATTTTAGTAGGGTTGAACCCTCCCAACCAGAAAAGTTGGGTGAGAGGTCGGGCACCATTCGCTGGGGGACCTAGATGATAAACCCAAATGAAGCCCTCGCGCCTTGAGAGGCACCTGCATAAGATCCACGTTGATGTCCTCGTCGGAATCCCGGTCGCCGCTATGCTGGAAGCCCCACCTGCGAATCTCCCTCTGCCGGAAGTTCGCTCTGTGGCTTGAGTTCGGACGTAGCATACGCTATATTGCTTGGTTCACTTTGTCAATGCCAAACAAATGCAATGTGTTGCGTTTCCGGTTGTATAGAAAGGTTCAAGAACTTTGAAGCCAAGGTCTTTCTCCCAACGACTTTTGCGACCCGGGATTCCCTGTGGTATTGGTTTTCGCGCCGTTCTAGCATGCTCCATCCTGAATCGCATGTCTCTTTGGATTATCACATGCAGAGCTTGCGGCTTGCAGTCCTAAGTTGCGCGAGCTCCTCCCATCTGCCATCCAACATAATTTCCCATAGGGGCTATAGAAGTGACTGTATTTGTTCAGGTGTTGTTCACTAGGAGAAACGCTGCAAGCGGTAAATTCCCTAAGTCGAGCGATTCAATTCCTACGGCTTCAGACATGTTGCAAAATCAGGTGGCCCTCCCGGACCCAAACAAGTGATGACTGATCGCTGAAGCACAGCCAAACAGCAAACAAACACAAACCCAGAAACTTCTCGGACCACGTAGGCGTTCAAGAAATTCCAAGAGTTAGTGGCTTGAAGACTGGCAATCAGATCATCAGATCAGAGACTGGACGAAAACATACACTCAAGTGGAGTGTCATCTCCAATCACGTCCGCAGGTGTTGAGGGTGTGCTGCCCAAGCAGCTTGCGGCTAAGGGACAAGAGATGGGTAAAACCAAACATACTCACATGGCTGTCGTTGAGGAAAAGCATGCCAAGCGCACGTCTCTTCCGTTCAAAGTGTAAGCTGGCTACCTTTACAGTTCTGAGCAAGCGACGTACCACAGTCTCTCTTGGGCTGCAGGCGCAGTCTCTTGCGAAGCTTGGTGAGCTTTTCTGATGCCAGCCAGAGTCTTCTCAACTATGTGAGTGACAAATGCACGCCGACTCAAATGATGTCACTTTTCAAGAAAGCCACTTTCGAGAAAGCCTCAAACTTTGTCCTCTGGCCCTACAACTCTGCAGTTTGTCCTGCATGCAAAAGAAAGACCTTCTAGAGAGACGGACATACTGTATTTCCTCAGAGCAGGAAGATAAGACGAACGCTTGCCTGCATCCATATGGCAGCCTGACCTTCGCGAGCCTTGGAATTTGGACCAGTTCCACATCGCTGGACCTACATGCAAGACTCTGCCTGCATTGATTTGTTGCCGGCGCAGGGCGCAAAGACCTCCAGGTCTCTTCTGGGAAAGCGAACTCATCCAACCGCCCGCCCTGTTCCGAGAGAAACCCGGCCACATCTGGGCAGAATACAAGGATTCGCACCAAATCAGGGACCCCAACACCTCATTCAGTCGAATTATTCGCCGCACAGATTTCTATTCCGCGGCCACAAAACAACAAGTGCAGTCCAGCGGCATTTCCAGGTTGTTGTGCCAGCAAGCGCCCAGCGAGTTGCCTTCCTGCCACCAAAAGACCGCTTTGGGCGAGAGCCTTGACCCAAAGCATAGGCTGGTTGGGGCAGACATGGGCAACCAAAACGGGTGCCAATTTCAGATCTGGCGCGCTGCAAGTGAGGCCCAGTTCAGAAGGAAAGAGCTTGACACACGAACATGCTTGTCAATCAACGCGCCCGGACAGGCATTGTGTCAAGGAGCAAGCGCCTGTCAAGGAGCCGATCAAACAATCTCACTCGTTTTTTTTGTTTGTTTTTTTTTTTTTTTTAACCTATACAGGCGGTACATCTGGGGCAATCCAGGGCATCACACTCTCTTGCCTGTCAAATTGTTTAAGACTCCATCTCGGACTTGGGCCGCCAAATGATCAACTGAATCTGCTCAGCTTGTCGCGTAAGGCTTTGGATTGTTTCCTTGGGCTGAAGCAAGCGGGCTTTGCGATACTTGGTTGTACAAATGAATACACATTTTTTGAGCAGGACGCACTTTAGTACTCCGGAGTCACTGAATGGACCTGTGTGCAGCCAACAAAACATCCTAATTTCTTGGAGATGAAAGAAACCTAAACCAGTTTGTGTTGCGGTATTGCTCTGAATCAAAAACAGTGCCCTCCAGACACTGGAAATAACAATAGCAATGAAGCCAAGGTGTAGCAACACTTTGGGCACAAAGACATGGGCACACCACTCAGCAAATGGTACTTGAGTCCTGCGAGAATTGAACGACCTGTCCGACTTGCAGCCCCCGCAGCTCTTTGGAAAAACGCGGCAACATGCAGACATGCGCCACCTTCTTCATTGGCTTCTTGCGATTGGATTGAACTCGGGTGAACCACATGAACTCTAACATGGAAGTGCGCAGGCCCCAATGGTAGTCTTTCAAAGGTACCTGTGCATTTCCATGTTGGTTGGTGTTAGTTGGTGGGAGGGAAAGTAATCCAGCTGAACAAGAGCAAACACAAGCGGCAGCCAGCCGGTGTAGGGGTCCAACTACATGTCCCCTTGTGGATAGTTTATCACCTGGGCACAAATTTAGTGGAGTTTCCCTATGGTATCATGTTTTGTTCGACAAATAGGTATGAATTGTCACCGGTTGGACCCTTGAACATCAGAAACAAGGTGCGGGAGTCATGCGACGAAAGGGGATTTCAAAGGTGCAACAAGTGGAAATATCGGATCCCTCTACCAAAGCACCTTGGGCGAGCTCCGGTGAGCTCGTAATTTCAGAAGCGAGAACCATCCCAAACTCATCGAGCCAAAATCGATTCCTATGCGGATTGGCCAAAAGAACCGCACAACTTGTTCTTTAGCACCCTGGAACTCCAGGGGTGAGCGCAACGCACCTGCCCTCGGTTCAAACAAAAAAACAACTGGCGCCTTGTCCGCAAAGACGGCGGAGATGTCTAGGTCGATCTCCTTGCGGACCTTGGCCTTGATCGTGGCCATGACCGAAAAGTTCAGCCTGGCGAACTTTTTGCGCGAGATTGCACCGGTCGAAGTTCTGACCCGGGACACCTTTCCCCTCAAATTCGTGCCGCTCGAGCCCACTCCACGGTCGTGGAATCAAAGGTTTCAAGGGTGCCGCTCAGAACAGATACGAGTAAACATCGATACCCAAGTTGCCACAGTCCCAATTTCCGCCAGTCTCAAACGAGAGGAGGGCTGAACTTCCATGGGAGTCTTGAAGGGCGCGCGCCCTGTTTTTGTAGTTGACATTCATAACCTGCGGCCAAAAACAAGTTGATATGCGGCGTCCGGACCGTGCGCAGCTGAGCTGTATATGTCTCACCAGTTTACACTGTGCATCGGGTGACTCTTGAGGCCACCATCCTAATGTCACCAGGGTGAATAGTTGCTAAATCCACAGCGCCTTGAATCGGCCGCGGCTTTAGTCCCGTTCTGAGCGATCACATGGAGTTATTCGGGCAAGCTTGCAGTTGTACCAACGAAAGGGTCTGCCTTTCAAGCAGTTCATCGAGATCCGTCTGCGGTTTGGCGTTAACCTCCCGCGAGGCTTGAAGTGTCTGCCTCACCCATGTATGTTGAGAGCGACTACTGTCCGCTTCCATCTGAGGATGTCCTTTTGGCCAAACAAGCAACGGCCTGTTTGCCCTAAAAGGACTCGGCAAATACAATCCGAAGGATTCTGCGGCGTTGCTCCTCCCATACAACATCTTTCAACCGAAAAGCCGCGGAGCCCGCGAACCCAGAGCCAGCCCTCGGAGGCCAGCCCTTGGAGGGCGCGAAGCTGGGGGAAAAAACAAAAATTCGAGGCCTTTGGCTTCAAGGGAATTGCGCGGCAGGGGAAACATAATGCGGAAGAACGCCCCCTAGCCGTTCGGCCAAAAGATGCACAGCAACGTGGCAGTCTTCTGGCCCCTGCCGGCGCGACTTCTTGTGGAAAGCTGTTGCCAATCAATGAGGAACCAAAGCCCTCGTCTCGAACACCACAGCTTGTTGGCTGGATATTTCCAGAAACTCCGGGCCTGTGTTTTGAAGGCTTGGTACCCTCAGCACCCTTGGGGCTGCTTCAGACTTTGCGTTTCCCTTACGCCTCCCATTTTCTTGGTTGACGTTGGAAGGGAAGCAAACATTTAATTTTCAGCAGTTAAGTGGGGATTTCAACCACTAAACCACAACAAGGAAAAATGCAAAATGTTTCCCAACAACAACCATGTGTGGAACCCAACCGAACCCCAAGCGACCCACCCCCGAGCCGCGGCCCGGCCTCTTCAAGGCATTCTTCGGCAGATCCACTGCGGCGCCTGCGCGCAAGCGAAGCGCACATGGCAAAGGAACACACACTTGAACTCCAGATGGAGAGTGCTAATCTTTCGAGTACAACTGATGAGTCTCGAGTACAACCGACAAGTCTCGAGTATGATGAGTTTCGGCTCGCAATGCCCTCGGCTTCCCTCTAGTGTCGAAAACGTTACCAGAAAGAACAAGAAGCACAAACAGCGCCGCAACCAAGGGGCCAAAAGGACTTTCAGAATCACTGAAGCAGGTACAGGTGTCCACGTCTGGACACCCTTCCCACCTTTGGCAACAGCTTCATTGCGTGCAGTATGCCAAAGGTGCTGCACGCCCCTGCTGCGAAACCGAAACGGCGGTGACAGGGCATTCTGTCACTCCGCACACACACGCCCCTCTACGAGGGGCGAGGTTTCTCTTTTCTCCTGCAGGAAGATCACATGCTCAAACTCAAATCACTATCGTTGACCAAAATATCCACCACGGCGAGGGGAGCGAGACACTGCCCTAAACCGCTCAGAAGACGGGAACGAAAGATCACAACGTTGAGCATTGCGAGTGTCGCCATAGAGGACTGAAGCGATCGGATCCATTGTGGTGCCTCCGGTGCTGTCTTCAGACCAGTACACTTGGAAGTGATATGATCTGCGCCACTCCCGAAATGTGGAAGCGTAAAGTGGGTCCGGAACTGGCGCCTCCTCAGGAACGGGCCTCCAAATGCCCGGAGAGTAAATTCGAATCCATTCCACTCCTCTATCGATCTGGTACTCGAAATACTGGGGGTTCATAGCAGCAATACGGGCTTGCACGACTGCTAAACCAATCGAAAATCTGCGGCAAGGACACACATGCATTGCCAACCACACACATCCACTGAGGAGCGAGGCAACTTTTGAAACACAAGGTGAAACGGGTCAACGAGGTCTGAAATGTCTGACACCTGGCTTTCACTGTCTTTGATGTCGCGCACACCTGCAATGATAGTGACCTGGTCGTCTACGTGCACAAGGGGAAAGACATTTCCGTCCATGGCGCAGGATGGCGTGACAGTAATGCTTGCATGTTGCCGATGGGGATCGCGATGAACGGCCAGCACGTTTGGAATAAAACACTGTAAAGGGCCGTCGAGATCGCCGCGGCGCTGAAGCTGATGCTGTCCGAGATCGTTTGGACGAGCGCCCTGGACTGCGTGGTACTTCATCACGGGAAGGGTCAGTGCTGCAGATCGAGCGGCGTGTGCGCTGCGATTTCAAGGAGGTAGGGCAGGATTGTCCGCGAGGGGCTGAGATCGAGGGACTGCGTACCGAGGGCATAAACTGGGGGTGTAGAATCACCGGTGGTGGTGGTGGTGGTGGAGGAGGAGGTGGAAGAAGCAGTGGCAGACTGGGCGGGGGCGGAGGCGACGTAGTCAGCCGAATGGGTCTGTCGAGTAGAGCCCCGGGTCCATGAAATTGTAACCACGTCGGCTGCGCTCCATGGGTCCAGGTAATGTCCCCATGATCCATCACAATCCCGGAAAGATGAGACAACCAGGGCCCAATCAACCAGTGATGACTTAAAAGCGGCGACGGCAAGCAATCAGAAGGCAAACAACAAATCATGCAAGCAACACCGCACAAGGAAATAACAGTCTGACTCTCCAGGGAGGCGAGGACGGGCATCAGCTATCATGTGAATTAGATGATGCCGAAGAGGAGGTCATTCCAGCATACATGAGGTCCGGTGCACCCGAAGCGAAAACTGGCCTCGCTATGCTGGGATGCGGACGACCCAGGCGTTGGTACCCCCTGGTGACCCAGTCCCTGTAATACCAAGTGTAGAAAGTGGCGTGGGATACCGGTTGCAGAGCCGTGCCTATAGTTGTGCCGCCAGTGCTTTCCCTGGGCCAGTACACTTCGAAGTGGTAGACCTTGCGCCATTCCCGATAGGCGGTCGGGTCATCCGGGGCCGGTCCCAGGGTGTCAGGTGCTACTGGATGCCACTGACCCGGCACATAGATTCGAATCCATTCCACCCTCGTTCCTGCTGGTCCATTGACGATGTCATAGTCAAAATAGCGAGGTAGGACCCATCGTGCTGCACCCTGCACCGTACTATTGAACATTTCAACCCAACAAGCTGCTCAAAGTTATCACAGAGAGCGGCGGACACATGGAGACAACATGCACAGCACCAAGCAAGACAACCCAATGAGAACTCACATACAAAGCACGCACAACCTCATCTTTATCCAACATGCTACTCAAGTGTCAATCCGAATTATTCCAAGGATCATGGAATGGTGGCGGTGACGGTTCCCGCCACGCTCCATCAGGTACCGACGAGCCCACCGAGGACTCGATGTCTGCGTTGGCGAGCATCGCGAGTCCGATGGATTGGACAGGAGGTCCAAGTCGTTGGTACCCTCGCGTTTGCCAGTCTCGGTACTCCCACACGTGATAGGACACATAGGAACTGGGCGTGGCAATATGCGAAGCAGCCGGGCGATCACTATGAGAAAACGGAGTGGCATAGGTGAAGGTCTCCTCAACTTGAACGGCATCGGAGTTCCGACCTTGACCAAGAGTCTGATCATGTGAATAGTGTGAGTTGCGAAGGACTCAATCCGAGACAGAATGCGCTGGTACCCTTGGTGTTGCCAGTCACGGATGTCCCATGCCTGGACTGGCGCTTCGGGATCCGTCACCCGCTGCCATTCACGAAAAGAGTTTTCAGGTAGATCAGGTACGGCGTCACCACGGTGCCATCGTTGAGGTTGTCCCGGAGTGTAAATCCGCACCCACTCCTGATCATGCCAGACCGAATATTCGAGCCATGGATACTGCTTGGAATCATCGATGTCCATGTCGAGGCAAGAGGCAAGGATGGTCGCGGGCTCCGATCCAGCTAGTAGGTGAACAAGCACCATGCACAACCATGTTCAAACAACAGCAAAGCAAGATCATGCAAGTGTAGAGGCCACCCTTATTTCAAAGTCAACCATGAGCCACGGACAACTCAATGCGTTTTTCCGGAAGAGGAGCGTCATGAGGTACATCATGAAAAACACAAAGCGCACAACACGTCAGGTCAGCAGCAACGCTATTGTACTGGCATGCCACCATGGTTCACCAGAAGATGCCCATGTAGCTGGGCACTGCGATCGAAGATCTTAGTTTCCACCTGCCATCCTTGGCATGAATGCAGTCATAGTAGTGGGATGCTGCTATGTACGTCTGTACAACTTGTTCTGACATGATTTGAGCAACTCAGGAAAGACATCACTGCATGTCAACGACATCTCGCAACACGGCAAGCAAGATTGAGTCACGTGCAAGCAAGCAAGTATCATGTGAACAACAACTCAAACCGGACACACCGCCGCCGCTTATCATTTCATCCAGGGTGTTAGGTCGTAGTTGCCGTTGGAGATCCGGATGTAGTCGTCGTCGAAAGCGCTTGTGCAAGCCGAGGGAAGTGGGCGACGACAACGAGCGGCGTCGAAAATCTACAAGATGTTCCCGGAAGCCCACCTTGCGCAAGATTCTGTGTACCCAGGGCGCATTCAAATGCGGGCGTAGCAGGTATTGCCATTTGCTTTCTTGAACCCACACCGAGGAAACTGGAAGTTTGATTTCCACTGGTACAGCACAGAAGAGCCAGTAAGTATTGGATCGCTTCCAGTAGTGAAGCGCCGGTTCAAAGAAGGCATG